CCTTTTCTGTTCTTGAAGCAGGAGCCCAGCACAGTGTCTGGCGATTTATTGGTCCTCGGTTAATGTTTATTGAATGAATGAAAGAATCGAAATGGATACTGAGTTGCTTTTGACAAGCTTAAAAATGAAAAGCTTCGAATAGTTTGAGCATCTTCTTGAACGTGATTGGCTGTTGCGGACTCTTCATTTTGCCCCCCCCCCCTTTTTTTCAAATCATATTGGCAAATAGCACAGACTATCATTACTGCCCTCATGAAAGTTATGTTTGAATCTGGGTGTTATAAATGTAATATGGTTAACTGGCAAATGTCACTCATATCTCTTTAGTCATATAAGCAGGAGCCCAGCACAGTGTCTGGCGATTTATTGGTCCTCGGTTAATGTTTATTGAATGAATGAAAGAATTGAAATGTCTGCTTTTGGATACTGAGTTGCTTTTGACAGGCTTAAAAATGAAAAGCTTCAAATAGTTTGAGCATCTTCTTGAACATAATTGGCTGTTGCGGACTCTTCATTTTGACCCCCCTTTTTTTTTTCAAATCATATTGGCAAACAGCACAGACTAGCATTACTGCCCTCATGAAAGTTATGTTTGAATCTGGGTATTATAAACGTAATATGGTTAACTGGAGTCAGAGCCCTGGGACAGTGGGGTCTTCTGAGTTTGCTGGTAGATCAAGGCCAAGAAATTCAGTGTATAGTGTACAGTGTGAGAAACATCAGGGCCCTAGGAGCACAGCTACCCTAGAAGAAAAAAATATTATGTACTTTGAAAGAGTTTTGATGAGTTGGATTTATTTTTATTTTGTTTTTCGTCAGCTTCTTTTTCAAGCCAAGATACTCAAACCGTGGGTCTATACTGAAAATGTGTGTGTTTTTAGTTTTTTTTCTGAAGGACCTCTATATCAACAATAGGGCCTTTCATGTTTGGTTTTCATAAGTTCAACACTGTAAAAGAGCTTTATTGAAGTGAAAATGCAAGCAGAACTTTCCTCCCACAGTTAAGTCCCTTTAGGACAGACAGCCCATCTGGGTGCTAGCGCTCGACTCCCTCTCTAGGATGTGTGTTCTCAGAGATACCGCAGCCCCCAGCTGAGCCATCTGGGACAGACGGGCCCATCCTGAATCTGAGCCACAGGTTCTCATCTTGACCCTGAAGGAGTAAGATCTACAGAGGATATCATTATGCTTATAATTAATTCAATTTTACATTTTATAATTTGTATTTTTACTAGTCAAGCAAAGACTCCTTTGTCTTTGTTTGTATTTGGTAGTATCTTAGACTAACGTAACAATTAACGAAACACTAATTAATTTTAGGGCTTCCTTACCTTTTACCTGGATTGTTGTCATCGATCCTCACTGGTGGATCTGTCTCTGTTCTCAGGGGACTTGAACCCTGACTATAATTGCCAGATAAAATACTGAATGCCCTGTGAAGTGTACATTCGAGATAAACAAAGGACATTTTTTTTTTTTGTATAAAAAAATACTTAGTATATTTTGCCCTAAAACATTACATAGGATGACTCTAACATATGATAAAATGACTTGTCATGAAACCTTTTAAAAATTCCTTTTACCAACAGTGCTGACCATGACCCCATCACGGAAACCAGCCTCCTCGTTCTCTCTAAACTGAATATCTGCATTATGATGTCTTGCAGGCAACACATGGAAGTCTGATTGCTTTTCCTCCCATGTTCTCAGCGATGTTACCACCATCCACGCTGTTCCTGAACCGCCCTGGACGTTCCCTTTGCCCCCACATCCATTAGGCGGGTCTCTGAGACTTCCCACCAGCCTTTTTGTTTCTCTCCCTATTCGAGCCTCAGCAACCAGCGATACCCTTAAGATTATAGCACGTTCTCCTAGTGCTCTTTCTTTTATATGCCCTTCTCTCTTATTATGTGACTTTTAAACTTTGAACAGTGACACACACGTACACATGAGTATATGTATGTAGAGAAACAGAAGTTTCCTGCAACTATACTTACAACCCATGGGCATTCTGATGTTTTCTATTTTATTATTATTTTTTTTAAAAAGCTATTCGATGACCCCCTAAATTGAGGACTTATGACCTGCAGTATAAAAAAAACACTGCCTAATCCATTTTACAAAAAAAACAATCGGAAGGTCATTGTAAAACCTTGAGCATATCAAGGCAGGTCCCTTCCTTAAAACCGGTCAACAGTTTCCCACGCATTAGCCTTAGGGTAAAGTGCAGTATGCTTAGTGTGGCCTTAAATGCTTCAGCCTGCTGTGTTCTCCCCTTCCTCAGCAAGTCCTCTTGTCTGGAAAGAGCACCTCCCTTTCCCCTAGAGCTAACTCCCCACAGTAAACAAATCCTTTAGGCCTAAAAGCCATTTCTTCAGTGTGGCTTTCACTGACTTCCTACCTTTACTGGATGACCTTCCACACCTAATACTTTTATTGCAGAAAGAACCTTTTAAAATACTGGTCAGTCCCTCAACTCCTCAAAAGCCTACAGAGGCTCCTTATTTCATTCAGAATAAAATCCAAGGTCCTTACAGTGACCTGCATCGTCCTGCACGGTCTCCCTCCCTGCCTCTTTGCCCTTACTTCCCACGGCCCTTCCCATGACCCCAAATTTACTCTGCTCCAGCCACCCACACTGGCCTGCTTCCTATTCCTCCAGGTTTGCCAGGTACCCTCCTACCTCAGGACCTTGGTACTTGCTATTCTCGCTTCCCGGAACACCTCCCATCCCCATGTCGAGATATTTATCAGCCGTCTCGTCACTTCTGGCATTCTCTCATTCCTGCCAGTTCTCACAAGTGTCATCTGGTCAGTGAGGTCTTCTCCCACCACCCTATTTAAAGTTGCATCCCCACTTTGGCACCTCCTAGTTTCTTCTCTGCTGTATATTAATTTATTTTACTTACTTATTTTGCTTATTATCTATCTCCCTCCACTGAGATGTAAGCTTTATGTTAATAGGATATTTTTTTACTCCTGAATTCCCAGCACCTGGAATAGTACTTGGTTTATGATATGTGCTCGATAAATTTATTTGAATAAATGAATGAGTCAATAGATAAATCTCATATATTCGCTTTCAAATCATTATTTTCTTACGGGAGAAGATGCTTGTTCTTTTCACTGTCGTACCCACCTTAGTGCCTGGCACATTGTAGAATCTCAAAATTAATTTTTTAAATTAAATTCATTTAAATTGGGAATGGTAACAATGAACGGAGAATGGTATGTGTTGCTTTAAGAATTCTTGGATTTATAGTGTTTGTAACTTGAATGTTACTACTCTACAGAATCATTAAAAGAAAAATCTATTAGTACATTGTATTCACTTGTTTGCTGGAACAAATATTAGGCTTATACTGTTGACTAAAAAATTGGAGGGGCGTAGTATGTGGGAGCATTGTAGAAAAAGAATCTTGATGATTTCAAAGTGGTGGCACCCCCTTTTGCTGTAATCATAATCAAATGGAATATAGGTCCACAGTTCCTTATTGAAAACCTTCAGAAACAGCTGGGTTCAGGATTCAGATCTCCACCCCCACCCCACCCCACCCCACCCCACCCCACCCCACCCCACCCCACCCCACCCCACCCCACCCCACCCCACCCCACCCCACCCCACCCCACCCCACCCCACCCCACCCCACCCCACCCCACCCCACCCCACCCCACCCCACCCCACCCCACCCCACCCCACCCCACCCCACCCCACCCCACCCCACCCCACCCCACCCCACCCCACCTGGCCCACCTCCGGCCAGGTTTCCTAAGGTAGAATGTGCTCATTAATTACAGACTCACAGAGCCTGGGGCAGTGTCCCATAATCAGCCATCTTGACACTTCTGCAGAGAAAAAGTATCAATAGTTACATGGGGTGGGATAAAGGTAACAAATTTCCCACCTCAGTTCCCTTCAAGGCTTTCCAAAAATGAGTTTTGATGCCAAAAGCATGGAAAATTTTGGTTTTCAGCGCTTTTGAGTTGTTTTCCTAACTTGGGGTTATTATTGTTGCTGGGCTGTTGGTTTTCAGGAAAGTTTCTGTTCCTACTCTCAGTTCATCCAATAAACCAAATGTTTAATTTTGAATGACTTCATCTGTAATAATTCAAGCAAATAGACACAAGAAGGAAAATGTCCTTTTCTATTCAATATCCCAGAACCATGACTAGAAGAACATGGTCCTATCATTAGTTACGTAGAAACCAATGTTTTTATTTGATTGCTTATAGAGTTTGAAATCCTTAAGGCAGAGGTTCTAAGTTTAGTGTTTAGACTCTATAACAGAGTTCAGCAAACTTTTTCTGTAAAGGGCCAGATAATATTTTTGGCTTTGCAGTTCTGTATCTTCTCTGCATATGTACATATTTTCAATACCTCATTTGCCCCACCACCTCCATCTCCTGCCCAGAGAAGGCTGCCTCACCCTGGACTTGTCCGCACGATGGGATAAAGCCATCAAAGGAAAATCCTGTGGGTATTTGGATTTATAACGTGCTTCCCAGAAGTTACCCTTATCACATAAATCACTGTTCTCACTCCAGTAGACGATAGCCAGATCATTTCTTGCGGGTGAGAACACAGCTGCTCATTGAAAAGGTGTCCTTTGGAAGAGGTTCACCTCCAGAGGAAATGGCCCCAGTGAACACATCATGCCACCAGCGAGGTGGTGACGTCATAACCTGCCTCATGGGTTCTAGATTTTCACTGTTAGATGTGCTTTGTTGGATCCATAGCACCTTAACTAACAAAATTCTGAGTTTTCACTTATTAAAAGTTAACTGCCAGCCTGGGACATTTGTGTTAAAAGGTGTTTTGTAAAATATAAAATATTTCTGTTAAAACAAATAAGTAAAGTGTTACATAGAATAATAGCTAGCATTGTGCCATCTACTGTGCTAAGCACTTTATATCCATTCTTCTGGGTCGTCTCCACCACGACCCTGTGAAACCAAGACTTGATCAAATGACTTGTCCAAGGTCACCCAGTTAGTGTCAGAGTTGAGCTTCTAACCTAGGTCAGGCAGAGTCAGCTCCTAACACACTTGAGAATTACAGAATATGGTGCTGTATATATTATATATTAATTACATATTACATATGTGATTATATATATATATTTTTGCATGAGAAGAGGAAAGGCTTATTGGTTATGCCTTGGTGTTTTGTGTAGATGATCCTACCATGAGAAATATTTAAAAATTATTTTTGCATATAGTGTAATCGATTCCATTATTTTTGTCTAAGTAGTAATGACATGAACTTTTTGCTTTTTAGGGATACTGGATCTTTTCTTTTTAGCAAAATCGTCTAGAAGGTTATTGTTTTTTCAAATGTGATTTAAAAAATTAGTTTGAATTTCATCACAAAGATATTTCCAAGGAAAGTTAAAATCCTTGTGACATTTTTTCTATTTTAAGTCATTAAGACAGTTTTTATAAGGCTTGAACTTCCCCTAATACGCAAGAATAACAGGAAATAGAAAACAATTAAGTTGTTAATTTAGCACCTATGGTATGACTAATGGTCTTTTCTCAATTTATGAGTAAAGGCTTTGAATTTCTCGTTTCTTAGATTTTCTGTGTCTAAAGTAGGGAAGCAACACTAGTACTGATTATTTTAAGCTCATCGAAGTCTGTAGGAGTCTATATTTACCATTAGTACATGGGCTCAAGACTATTTTCCTCATTATATATAAGTGGAGCCTGACTGAACCTAGAAGAGCAGTAAACATCCCTTTGGAGACTTCCTCCTAAGAGAGGAGATAAGAGGCCGAATCATAAAAGTAATACAGTAATAAATACCCAACTAGAGAAGGCGATGAAAGAGAAAGCACACCTACGCCCCCTTTGCACCAAATTTAGGAACTTCTAGGTATCAAAACCGACAGAAAGTATTTTCTAACCAAGTCTTCTTTTTCAGAGGCAACTATTTTATTTTAGGTTCTGCCCCTAATTTCTAATTCTCGATTTATCAATTCTAGGCTAGCTCCTTGCTGTAAAAGATGGGAAGGATTCTCTTGAAACTTCTACTTAAATTGCTGTTTTTCACCTCCTGATAGTTTTTGTCTCTGATATTATATTCAGTTCTAGTGGTTGCCTTTAATGCCTGGATCATAAAGATGGCCTCTATTTTCCAACTGATTTTTAGATGTTCTTATTGACTCCTTGCTTTGAGAGTTGAGGAAATTAGCACAGGTGTTCATGGATTCATGTTTTAATTTTTATATCTCCACGGTTTATTACATTCACATTTATAACACGCTTCATTGTCTTTGAGCACCTCTGTCAGATCTTGGTTGCCCTTAGAGTAAAGTCCAAGTTCTCTACTGTAGTAAATAAAGTCCTTAACCACCTGGCCCACTCCCATCTCCCTGGCCTAATCTGCGGTACAGGAGCTCTCTCCGTCCTCATATGGCCTTTTATCTCACTGGGACTTTGCGAATTCTATGAACTCTAACTAAGAGCTCCAACTTCTTTTCTTTCAAATGGCAAATTCCTACTTGTGCTTCAAGGCCCTGCTCTCATTTGATACCCTTTCGTAGCAGCATTTCTGCCTCCCATCCTGAGGTGGTCAGTCCCACTGGTCCCCACCGCCCCCTTCCCACCTCCATCACGGCTCTTTCACATGAAGTTATGATTTCAGCTTTATGCACCTGCTTCCTCTGCTTGAATGTGAACATTAGGTGTGTGCATTTCATTTCTGAGTCTCTAAGATCCAGTGTAGTTTCCTCACACAGAATGAATGAATAAATGAATGAATGAGTGAATGAGTAAAAGTTTCAACAAAGAGCTCAACCAATGAATTTGGGGGGTTCTGTCTTTCCTAACCCAATTTTATTCAGCTAAGTTTTCAGAGGTTCTTTTCTGGTCTGGTTTATATTTTTTCTTTACTTTGAATACCTTGTACCTCCTTGGGTAGGAATGATTGAGGAGAAAATAGTTTCTGTTTATATTGCTTATAAATACTCACCTTTTCTACAATGAGCTCAAAACTGAGGAAGAATTGAAACTTCCACACCAGAACATGGCTTTTTTTTTATCAATAAATACCATTTTAGAAATTTAAAGACAGAACTAGAGGGCAAAATTACTTCAAAAGGATATTTGTTATCAAGAAATCTAAATGAAAATAATTTGCCTTTTATTCTTACTTTTTGTTTTGGTATACTAAATCAATCTTTTTTAAAAAATTCACTAAATACACTTTTAAGAAGGAAATCAATTCTCTGAAGTGGTATTTCTTTATAGCAATTCCTTAGAAATTTCTGTAAGTACACGATGTGTTTTGAGTAAACGCAGCATGTGGCCACAGGTTCGGTTGAATTCCATTCTCCGTTGACTAAAATAAGCTCACACATTGATTCTCATTTACTCGTTAGATTTCTGTTGTGCTTTTAACTCCTACTGAAGGAAAACGGATTAAAGCTCATGGTGAAAAACTGCTAATGAACTGAGCACCCAGATATAGTTATTATTCTGTGTGTCCTAAGACAGTATAATTTTTTTAAAAAGTATTCGGGCAATACAGAAAGCACCTTAGAAATCATAGAATCGTAAACCCACTGCCTGCATTCAAAGCCTGGCTCTCTGCTGCTTTCAAAATGCATGACCTCAAGCAGGTTACATAACTTCTCTAAGCTTCTTTCTCCGTCTACCAAATGGAGAATATTCATGTGAATTAATGCATATAATGAGCTTAGAACAGTGTGTATGGCACTTCATAAATGCCCAGCAACTGCTATCAACACTTATTTTCGTTGTAAGGAATATGCGGGGGGAAAAGGCAAATGGTCATTTCTCTATGGTAGTCACTGTTAAGTACTTGGAGTATATCCTCCCAGAGCATTAAATGTGCAGTTTTAACTAAGAGCAGTATTGCTACAGGGATGTTAATGTAGCAGTGACTTGGTTCAACAAAACCTAAGTGTACAGTTTACAAATAGTTTTCCTAAGGAAATTTGCTTCAAAAGTCTGGTTTCTATATTACTTCATGGTTTTTCAGTAGTGAGGACGATACTGTAAGAAAATACAGGTGATATAGTTACTGAAGAATTGATGGATCG